CCTACGGACAACTGATGCTGGTTGAGTTCATGCTGGCAGCTTTAGCTCTGGTTTTGTATGAACCGTTTGAGAAGTGAATGGGCTTATTCCGTGTTATGGCTTTTGCGCAGTGAACTTCTTCCTTCTGTTGGTGCGCATGAGTATCCAAGTTGCTGTTTGTGAAATCTGCATGTGCTTACCATGCCAGCTTCGCGTATGCGTATGTATGTACATAGGGGTGCTTTTAGTCTTGTTGGTATGTTAGTTTGTGTGTACGCCTACCAGTATGTATGTATGTATGTTCATATATTGGTACCTATGTGCAGTTGTAAGACGTATGCTAGGGTGATGTTGAAAATGTTATTGTGGCGTAGGCAAAGCTACGTTACAGTCCCCCTCCCACTTCGGCGGACGACAAGTTGCGGTATTCTAGAGTTTTGGCCTGCGGCCTGCACTACCTTAGGGCCAGCCTTAGGTATTATTTACCAGAGTACGTTGTACCCTGGCTCGGTCGGTGTGTGTGGGGCGGTCTTTTTTTTTATTGATTATTATTCATTATTATTATCTAACATTTTTTTTTTGTTGTAATAGGTATATGTGTGTATAATGTATGAGATTTGTAATACATGTGCTTATAAATAGGTACAAAGTTTAATTAATAATGATATGAGATTTGTAATACATATGCTCATAAATAGGTACAAAGTTAGATTTTTTTTTTTTGTGTGTGAATACATTAGCAAAAAAAACAGAAAAATTGGTTTGTGTTGGTTGACGGTAGTTTTAATGTATATATTCCATGACCTTGGTCCTCCCCTTTGACCGGGCGATGGCGTGGTTCGCATCTATCTGTGTAGCGAGCTTGCGGTGCCCTTTCCACTGAAATCGCCATCGCTCTTTATTGTTTCTCGGTCGTTTTAGCCGCTGCTTTTTGAAAGGGTCGAACGTGTCACTGTTGGTCGTTCCGTCGTTTGTTGTGGCCGGGTCCGCTTCGGATGATGTTTCGGTTACCCTTGGTTTGGGAGTGATCTCCCGGGCTGGGTTTGTGGTTGCCGCGGCGACCCATTTTTGAGGTCGATCGTAGAGATATATTTTGCCTCCTTCAACTGATCCAAGATTGCTCCAATCTGAGGTAACGGGTATGCGTCTGGTTCGCTGGCGGTAATCGATACACATGCGCCAACTTCCTTGCTTTTTCCGAACTAAGAAGATGGGGGAGCTGTATGCGCTTTTGGATGGTTCGATCCTTTCCCCCGCGAGGAGCTCGTCCACTTCGGCGTTTATCACCTGCTGCATGGCAGGGTTGCGTGGGTAATAGCGTTGTTTAGTGGGCGATGATGCCGGAGTGTGATCTCGTGTTCGGCGGCGGTGCTGGGCCCGGTGATTTTGGAGAATCGCTCTCTGTGAGTTTCCAAAAAAATCGGCTAGTGTTTTATTTTGTTCCTCGTTCAAGTGTGCCCTTTCAATTAGGCTGCATAGCGCGTGTGTAGTATCGAGTCTCGGCGGTGGGGCGGGAGCTAGTTGCTGGTTGTCTAGTGACACGACGATGCCACGCTTTGCCAGGAAATCCATTCCCAATATCATTTTTTCAGCCAGATTGGGGATGACGGCCACCAGTGTGTTTGTTGCTTGGCCGTTGTATTTAATTTGGACAGGATAGGAATGGGTGCTTGCGACGCACGTTTGGTCGGCTAGCTGCACGTTTCGTTTGTTAGGATGTGGCTGAATATTGCGCTGTTCCAATTGCTTGCGTAGATATCCGTTGATGTATGTTAAGGTAGCTCCAGTGTCGATAAGGGCTCGGATGTTCATGCCTTCGACCAGGACGTTCGCATAGAAGCGGCCATCGGGGCCTTGCCAGCCTGGTAGAGACGTGGTTGGTTGATCGGTGGGTGACTTGAAGATGGCTGTCCTCTCCTCGTGACACGGGCAATTCCTGGAGAGGGTTCCATCTCGTCCGCATAGTGAGCAGAATAGTCGCCTCGGACTCCTGCACTGGAATCGGCGGTGTCCGCGCTTTTTGCACCTCCAGCAGGTGTTCTTCGCATCGTATCGTTCGAGTGGAGTGAATAGGCAGTGTGTTGCTTGCCTGGTTTGCCTGGCCTCCTCGCTTTTGAGCAGCTCATATTCGTCGGTGAGTTCCATTAATTCTTCGATAGTATGGAACTCGCCCCGTTTTATGAATAATCGGTACTCCACTCGCAAGCCTTCGTAGATGCGCTCCAAGTGGTCGTCGCTGCACATCGTTGGGTGCTGTCGGATCAGCGTTTGGAGGGCTAGGATGTAATCCTTGGCCTTCTCTCGGCTCTGCTGTCTCCGCTGGCGAATAGCGTCTTCCAGCTGACTGACGTGTCGACGGGGAAGGAAGAATCGCTCAACTTCGGTGCGGAATATAGCCCAGGTGGTTATGTGTGGCCTTCGGACGCGGAACCATTGTAGTGCTCTGCCGCGGAGTATTTCGGATAAGGTTGGGAGGAGTTGATCTGGCGTGATTTGGTAGCATTCCGCCAGCTCCTCAATCCTCTCCAAGAAGTCGTGCAGAGTGTCGCCACTGGAGTAGTGAACATCCCAACGGCGGACGGTGCTCACTACCTCGGCGCTGCTCATATGGTCTCGTTTCTGGCCGTTTGTTTCCCCCCCCCTCGGCATGCAAGAGAGAGTCTCCAAGCCTAATTGCCGGAGTTTGTTCGTGTGGTGATTTCACCATGCTAGCTTCATCGGCAGCGATCTCCATCTCCAGTTCTCTGAGCAGGTTTTCGGTTGATTTGCTGTTTCTCTTTGCCCTGACGAAATTACTGAGAGTGCTGCGCAGATCGGCGACGGTGCTCCCCTCAACGGGTATATGATGCCTCTTGCATTCTTCCACCAATCTCTCTTTCTTCAATAGATATATCCAGCCAAGAGAGTCAGTGTTTAGTGTGGTGGTATCATTTTCGCTCATCCGTGTGTCATTTACTTGTCGTGGTGTGTTCGATGAACCCGCTTCCGCAGTGTTGGTGCTTGTTGAGGTTTTTGCACATGCGCCTGCAGAGCTGGGTCCCTGCTCGGGCGCCTTTTATGAGGTGGGTTTTGTCGAAGGCTGAGGTATGCTCAGCCGCTCCAGAGTCCAGCGAAGGTCCCACTAACCCCCACCAAATAAAACACAATGATTTGTGTATTAAGTCGAACACACCCACACACACACGTGGCTATCTAGAAGGCCGGCAACTTGTCGTGCAGGGGAGAGCGGAAGGTAAAGAGCGAGAGTCGGTAGTCGGAGTCGAAGATTTTCCGGCGGGTAATTGTACGGTGACGGGAGTGTTACTAGTGTCAGCGAGATTAGCAGTGGTACGTGTCAGTCGTAGCGAAGAGCGTGGCAATGAGAGCAGTCGCGGTGGTTGTGACGGCGACGGCAGCCTGCAGT